CAACTTTATAATATAAGAGGCCTTATTTAGCTCAGATCTATAGTTGGAATACTTATCTTAACGGATTAAGACCAAGAGAAGTGGGAAATAGGAGTCTGAGGAGTACGCCGTGCGTACTCCCAGCTACGCGCATCGTAGAGTTGAAAACCCCCGTCGCATGCTTAGCCAACAGTACGCCCAACATAGGTAGTTGTACGCCCAACGTACGCGTTGGGTGTTGACTTTTGTCGACTTTTGAGTTTTGGGTCAATTGTGGACTTTTGACCAAGGAGAGGCAAAATCGTCTTTTTACCTTTATGAGATTTATTTAAGAGGCTTGGTCTAGCATTACGAGGTTATTAATATTATTTATTAGTTAGAGTTATATATGACATATTTTAGGTTGAGTCAAGATCGGCAGTTCGGGTGCGAGGTTTATTTGCTTTTCTACGTGAGGTGAGTCTTCTCACTATACCTACATGTGTGGTAATTTATGTGTGACCGGAGGGTCTTATTCGTGTTATTGACTGGAGGGTCTTAATTGCTATATATGTGCATTTTGTCTTTGTGACTTATGTTGTTATATTATTCTGTGTATATATATATATATATTGAGTTATGACTGGATTGTCCATACCGAGATGTGATACTGGAGGGTCTTCACTGACACACATGACCGGAGGGTCCCTATTGAGATATAGCCATGAGAGGCTAATTATTTCTATATGTGGTATTTTGAGTAACTCACTAAGCTTCGTGCTTACAATGTTGATTTAAATGTGTTTTAGGTACATCTCTGGATCGCGGGAATACAGCTGCATGATTGTACACACTCGTCTGTTAATGAGGATATATGTGGATTTTGGGATACTCTGACTTTGTTTTATGATGTTATGTATTTGACATTTTATATTTGACATGAGTTGGTGTTAAAACTATGGTTTTGGGGAATTTAAAAATGAAAATTTTGTTTGAAAATTTGAGCTGTTACAGGTGGACCAAACGATTGCATACTGTAATAAGAAGCGTGTTTGTTTTTTAACATCTGCATGCTGCTGTAGATATTAAAAAATAAAATAAACTGATTTTATATAACGAAAATAGTTTTTTAATACCGGAAATTTAATAATGTATGACATTTCAGCAAGAATTTATGATATTTCAGCAAACAAATAATGATATTTCAGCAAAAAAATTATCATTATTCAATATAAAAAAAACGAAAAAAAATCATTTAGCAAGAATAAACCCAAAAAAAAAACGAAAAAAAAGAAGGTGAAACAAGAATTCAACAAGATTGCAAAAACATAATCAATTTTCATCAAAATTTCAGCAAGAAAAAAAAAAGAAGAGGTTGAAAGAGACAATACAGGTACTGCCCCAAACAGAACGCGCACAAAGGTTTTTTACTCCGAAGACTTCTAAAAAATAAACAACTGCGAGATGAAAAGTGTTACACGTGTGACATCCCCTAATTTCTCGGCCAGAAAAGACCGATTTAATTTATGCTTTTTAAAATAAAATCAGAGAAACATGATAAAAGTTTTGTCAAAACCTTTCTTTAAGAAATATATAATTTCCTTTTATATCAAAACCTCGGGATGTCATGTTCCGATACAGATCAAAAACATAAACAAGACATTATAAGCCTTACAACAGTTATTTATAACTACTGGCCTATAATCCAAAATCACTCATCATCATCATCCGACTATGCTCGGGGTCCACTACCTATAGTCATAAAAAGCTGAGTGGGTCAGGCTTGGAAGCCTGGTGAGCATATAGGGTTTTCAACCCACAATACATAAATTTATTATGTTTAAACATCAATCAGTCAACCAAATTTCCCCAACCCCATTATCTTATTAATTTCTTAAGGGTTTACCCTAAGATTCAACTATCACTCCTTCCTAAGGATTCATCCTAAGGAATAGGCACGAAGTCACATCGTCACCTGGGTTTATACAATAGGCACTAAGTCCATAACTCTTATTTATCGACAATATTATTGACAGTATTCACCCCTGTCATACATGTCAATGGGTTTTTAGAGTACACCTTATGAACATATAGTTCACCCACCTACAGGTTGCAAGCCTGCTAGTGTTCCACAGACCATCTAGAATAGTCCATGGTTGTCATCCATACTCTGTGAATGACGGGGGTCACCGTTTGGGTAAGGGCTTTTCTCATATTTCACCACTCACCCTCAACTTATGATCAATATTATTGATCATCTCTTTTATCCAACTCACCTTTCATCACACACCCATTATTTCATCTACCCATGTTTTACCCAACATTTTTGTAGATAAAAATACATATACAGTTTAAATTATTTAAAAATATGTATAAATCACACCTTTAACATCCAACTCAAATAAACAAACAATAAATATTCACACAGCACGTATTTTATATAAAATACTTCATATTTATGTGTAAGGTGAAAGTAACTACACACTCACCTGATTTAATGAAAATCGGGCAGCAATTCGTTTCCTAAAAACGATCTTTTCTAATAAAATCGGGAGTTTTATTGAGAAACCGGGCTCTGCGAAGGGTCGGGCTTCGAAACCGAAAAGATAAATTTTCCGGGCTTCTCGGGCACTTCGTGGCGTATTGCGGGGGTTATAATCGATACCGGGGCTTCGGGGAATGTTAAGATGAAGAAAATATGGAAAAGGGGCTAAAAATGGCAATTTCTTAAAAATATCCGAGAAGGCTCGCAGCCTTCTATTTATAGGGAGGAGCTTCTGATCGGACGGCTGAGAAGCCTCCAGGTGGCGAAGATCCGAGGCTCGCAGGGGAGGGCTCGCACGAGGGCTGCGCGTGCGAAGTGGCTGCTGGCCTCTTGTGATTGGACTGAAGCCTAGGTCCGAAGTAGGGGCATCTGTGGCATGATGCGAAGGTTCGGACATGTGCTAGAGGGTACGTGTCGCCTTCTCAGTGGACCACTTCGGATCAGCTCAGGAGCTCGGATGACTCAGCAGCTCGGACACGTGGCTCGCATGACTCACCAATTTCGGACACGTGGCACGTTCTAAGCGAGGGTGACGTGGCAAAAACGTGACTATGCGAATTTTCTCGATTTTTGTGCAAAAACTTCTACAATCCATAATTTTCGCATATGAGCTCCGTTTTTGACGTTCTTTATATGCACGCGTAGGTAAAATTACGCTCTACAACTTCCGTTTAGACTTCGTCGGCTAATTTTGACTTTAATTTTTATATTATTATTTTTAACAGACCGGGACAGGAAATCCGTTAAAAATTCATAACTTCTTCATCCGACGTCCTTTTTCGTCAGACTTTTTACCGTTGTGCTACTATTTACGAGACCTTCGATTCTCGTTTAGGTTGTGTCGGCTAAAAATCACTCGATCTAAAATTCGAGTTTTTAGCTGTCTACTGCTAAGCTGAAACTTCGAAAAATCATAACTTACTCATACGAAGTCAGATTTGGGTGTTCTTTTTATATCTACTCTCGGTTTAACGAACACTACGAGTTTCGTTTAGATTACTAAGGCTAAAAAGTAGTTTATCGAAAACTCACTTTTTACGACATTCAGCACCGAGCCGGTTTTTTGTCGTGAAACTTCGACAGGTCATAACTTCTTCGTTATAACTCGGATTTCGGCATTCTTTATATATCCGTAATCCTTGTCACGACCACTACAACTTTCTTAATAGATATCTACTTTATCTAAAATTTATTTTCGACGCTCATTTTTATTCTTAATTAATTAACTCCTAGTAATTAAGCATAAAACACATAAAACACATAAAATTCACATAATTCCTTTTTCATTTCTTCAAAATGAGTTACACAGGTTAACCTAGACTATCACCTTAATATTAATGCCTAGGCTAGAAACACGAGTGTTACAACACGTGTGTTGCGTCGCACAACAATAAGAGGTCTGAAGAGTTTTTGTTACAAAAAAACAAACACCTAACTCATGTACAAACACTAAGCTACACACCCAATAAAAATTACATGCTAATCCGACTTTGAACGAATGAAATGCATGTTTTAATTTTTTCACAGAATACAAAATACAAAAAACTGAAAATCTAGTATAACTTTAAAATAAATAATACCTCCTTTAAATTTTCAGTCCAAACCGGTTTTTGGACGGGCCTAATTTTATACACAAGCCTTTTTTTGCATGATACAAAGAACCGAGAACCAACTTTATCTAATAAATTGATCCAAGTTCGGTCCCGGTCCATGTCCAATTTCTGATCCGATCCGATCTAGTCTATAGATCCAAATACTCACCTCTAATTTAGATCACAAAACACATGAAAACATCACAAACATAAAGAGAACACAAAAAATGAACAACAAACATTACTCAAAAGAAAGAGAACACAAAAAATGAAAGAAAACCCAACCAATATAGAATATGATTTCAATTTTGTTGTTGGACCTCAACAATCTTGGAATAATGTTGACATAAGGCAATTTGGCATATCGGCCCACCCAATGAAACTTCATCTTGATCCAAACCTTGAACATATTTGGAATCTTCTTATTTGTTGAGTTGAGGTTAGTCCATGATGTAACATGATCGCCTCGCTTACAAATAACCAAAGTTGTATCGGAAAAGTTGAATCTCAAATCCAATACCCGGCCCATGTGGGATGGAGCGGGTCAATGGGATGTATCATATATACCCGGCGAGACTGATACGTGAACTCTCACGCAAGAAAACCAAGAATGGAAGACACACCGGCAACCAACATCGGCGGAGACGCTCAACAGGAAATGATCGCAGCATTCTCAGAGATAACTTCTGCTACCAAAGAAGAAGCATCCTTCTTCCTCGAATCGCACAACTTCGATCTCGATTCCGCCGTCTCTACCTTCTTCGAAACCGCTGCCGCCGTAGATGAGGCTCCTGTGTCTGCCTTACCTGGCCGAAACCCTAACCGGCCTTCTGATACACATTCCCCTTCATTCTCTCCGTCGTCTTCTCCGTCTCGCTCCCGATCAGCCTCCCCACCTCCTGCTATTGGTTTACAAAATCCTTACAATCTACGATCTAGGAACACCGCTACGGATAAGAAGCCATCAGGTAGTCGGTCTACTGGACGCATACGGACTTTCTCAGATCTGAATCGACAGGGCGATGACTCCGGAAGTGACTCCGATGAGCCCCAGGAGTATTATACCGGTGGTGAAAAGAGGTAAATAATGTAGGGTTCATCCGTTTATTAGGTTTCCGTCCATGAGTTGATTGACAAGAAAATTAGTGCAAACAGTACAAGATCTCTTTGCTAATGTAATCCTTAGTACATTCAATTGGAGTTCCATATCATAATCTACATTTGATTCATATTAACGATGATGTATCATGCAGATTAACACATGATGATTGATCAGTTTCTTGACATTGGTTCTTTCACGATGATTCATATCAATTAGTATCTTGATTGTGCGCTACTTCAATAACGTTCAAATGCTTCATCGAAACACAAACAAATCCGATAATCTGACATTTATTAATGATTGCAGTGGAATGCTTGTTCAAGATCCATCAAAGGTGAATGATGTGGAATCATTGTTCAATCAAGCTCGACAAGCAGGAGCAGAAGAAGGAACACTCGAACAACTCCAACCATCTTCAAGCTCCAGAAGCTTTGCAGGAAGAGGAAGATTACTATCTGGAGAGACAACATCAGCCACTCCTCAAGTCTCTGAACCTGATGTTCATACTCACACCATCACTTTCTGGACCAATGGTTTCACTGTTAACGATGGTCCTTTGAGAAGACTCGATGATCCCCAAAATGCATCTTTCTTGGAGGTACCATATTAAGTTAATAACTTCTCTTCCTTTTTCCCAATTCCCATTTTACCCTTACATGATGTGTTCTCTAATGTTCTTTAACAGAGCATAAGGAAGTCAGAATGTCCAGAGGAGCTTAGGCCTGCAAAAGGAAGAGCTCCTGTTCATGTCAGTCTTGTGAGGAAGCTTGAAGACTTCCCTGTTAGTAATCTTTCCTAATTCTTCATTTCTTTTACAAAACTCTCTTCTTGAATACATTCTCACATACATGGATCTTCATGTTCATACACAGGTTCAGAAACACCGCCACACTGCGTTTGTGGGTGTGGGTAGAACCCTAGGCACCACCACCACCACCACCACTTCATCAGAACACGCCACCATTACACCGCCGCCTGCCACCATGCCTGCCACCGCTGCACCAACCCCACTGGCGGGGCTAGTGGTGGATGACGCACTACCTTCAACCTCTATTCAACTGAGATTGGGCGATGGGACCCGTATGGTTTCTAGATTCAATTTCCACCACACGATTGGTGATATCCGATCTTTCATTGATGCATCAAGGCCTGGAGGATCTAGGGTTTATCAGCTTTTGACAATGGGGTTCCCGCCAAAGCAGCTTAATGATTTGAATCAGACGATTGAAGGGGCTGGGTTAGCGAATTCGGTTGTGATACAGAAACTCTAGTGTGAGGTAACAAGTTGTTTGCTGAATTACTACTTTAGATTTGTTCTTTGTTTGTTTTTCATATAATACATGAAGTGAAACAATTGGGTTATTTTGGCTCTTGATATTGGATTGTTACATGATTGATTATATTGTGGTTGTTGTGTTTGTAGGAATAAAATTACGTGGTAAAAATATACAAAAATACGTTTTTTTGAAAACATTGAACTCGTGTATATTTTGAAACTAATACATGTTGGATATCCGCTAATTGCATTTCAAAGGTTTTAAAATATAATGTTTGCTAAAGCTAGATCTGATCTTCCAACATAATAAAAATATGTGCATCCTCTTTTAAGGAATCAACTATTCACTTCTCATTTGCAGTACGTGAGACAAATAATGTATTGTGAGTACACAGGTTTTATGACACAATAAGGGCAACATGTTTATCAAAAACATTTTTCAACAACTATATCAATGCCATAACATACAAAAATCCCACGTCAAACTTGCAATTATCTTAAAAGCAAGAAAACCAGTCAACATCGATTTTTTTATGAGCCACTCGAAAGATCATAATGTACCTCAAGGTAGAATATCTGGTACTTCGCTTCCAATGTTTACTACATTGTCCGAAGCTTGTTCCCAAGCCACAATCCTTTGTTTGAATCCCACATTGGAACAAAGTGTCTAGATAATTCCAATGCAAACGACCATTCAATACAATAAACTTAGGATGAGCATACGACCCGTGGGACCGGATCGGACCGGAAAAAACCGGGACCGGACCCGGACCGAACCGGATTATCATATTAGTGGGCCGGTTTTCGGGTTTGGTTTTTATCAATAACCGGGTTTCGGATTTGGACCGGACCGTACCCGAATTAAAGGATTTAACCCGGACCAGAAAACCAAAAGTTGTTTTTTTTTTTTTTTTTTTTTTTTTTTTTATCGACAAACAGTAAACAAAAATTACCAAAGTAAAAAAAATGTTATCCGATTGAATTGATTCGGCCCCTCCTGTGGATCACATTATCTTGTCAATTTTTTTTTGTTTCGGCCTCTTCTCTTGATCGCATTATGATGTATTTTTTTTTCTTGAAAAACCAAAAGTTATTTCCTAGTACAAATTTTTTTAATAAAAATAGTACAGTTCTTTGAAAAAAATAATGCAGTATTTTTTAATAAAAATAATGTTGTTAAGTGCAAATTTTTTATAAAAATAGTGCAGTTTTGTTTTATAAAAATATGGCAGTTTTTTTTTTTTTAAATAGTGATGTTAAGTGCAGATTTTTTTTACATAAAAATAGTGTAGTTTTTTTAATAACGTTTGTATTTGTTTGCATACACCTCATTTGCGCGTATTCTAATTAGAGTCTCGCAGTGTACTGTTGTATTCATCTTCTTTTATGTATTTTTTCAATCGAATTGTACAAACAACAAAGATACGAATGATGGATACACACTCATTTGTGTGTATTCTAATTAGAGTCCCGCAGTGTACCGCAGTGTACCGCAGAGTACCACACTCGATACCCATCATAGACAATAAGAGCCACCGCCTCAATATCCTCTTCTTGATCGCCTGCCTCTGCAGCTAATACATGCCCTACTATGCTCAAATAGGGTGTATCCTTGTCCTTAACCATCTCAGTCCCCACTGACAACCTGATCATGCTCTAACATTACCTCTCGACAGACATACTGCCCAAATACCCTGATGGAAGGTCGTCATCAATGCTAACCCGAAGGGTTTTACCCCCAAGCTCAGAAACCGAATTCTCAACACCTCTTATGTTTCCCACAGGAAACATAAATAATACCACCCAGGTCATAGAATGTGACATCTCCGCTATCGGCTGATTGCTCAACTCATGCCGCAATCCTCCATAAACGCCATCTCTACTCATCCTTGAGCCTTGCGACTTCATCTGACATCCCACCAAAAATACCTTGGAATCATCTCGACTTCCCTCACAAGGGATGCTTCGTTGAAACTCGTTCAACATGGACCTCTGGCCCCATACTCTTTCACATCTGATCTCGGACTAACCAATCACAACAGAATAACTGGTAAACCAGAAGCATTAACCGCCACGAGTCATGGTACTCGAACCATGTGGTCACCTCTCGATCTGCTATGAATCATGGTACCCGAACCATGTTATCTCTTCTCAATTGGCTACAATCATGGTACTCGAACCATGTCCTCTCTTCTCAATCCGCTACGAATCATGGTACTCGAACCATGTTCTCTCTTCTCAATCTGCTATGAATCTGGTACTCGAACCATGACATCACTTCTCGATCTGCTACAAATCATGGTACTCGAACCATGAAATCACCCCTCGATCTGCTACAAATCATGGTACTCGAACCATGAAATCACCTCTCGATCTGCTACTTAAAACCTCCGGAATGTTCCCTGTATCGAGTATGGGTCCTCTGCTTTCAGTAGTACGGGCTCATACTACCTGTCACATCTACCCATACTTTTTACACGGACCATCCCCGAGTTCCTAAGTAGCTGCTCAACCTTCTCGATCACCAATCCCGTCACGCGTGTTCGCTCCTCTGCGAAATGCTCTACTCTGTCAGCGTACTCATCTGACTAGGGTCACCCTTTCCTAGGCTCTTCCTAGGTTCTCACACTTCTCCGCCATCAGCTGCTGAAGAACTCCTTATGATGCCAGCCATCTACCTCCTGAATATTGTCATATTCACTTAGTAGGTGACTCCCATCATCAAGAGTTCCACAAAGCACGAAGCAAGCAGCATTCGGGCATCGAATAATCTCTACCAACATGTAAAACCACTCTAGGTTATTACCCACTTGCTCTCCTCATACTGAAAGGATATCACCGAACTCAAGCAACTTTACCCCACGCGGGCATCTGACTACTCTCTCAGTAGACTCTCAAATGCTCATCTAGGTATCTCTCCTAGATTTACTCCTCTACTCAGATCCCTCTCTAAAAGGATTCCTGCTGGATACTCATACTTAGCACATACTCGAAGGCACATCACATATAACAGTAACTGCTAGGCTAATGCATCACAAATCAGGCCACTCTAGTCCTAAAATATGAAATACCTAGCCTATCTCTAGCATGCATATCATATCACATAATATCTCATAACACATAATGTAAGGGTATTTTGGGAAATCACCGTTCGGGCACTGGCTGATCGTACACACTGCTCCGTTCTGATTTTCTCAAAAATCTTGTACTCTTTTAGAAAAATTGTTTCTTTTATGAAAATTTCCTCAAATCCTCAGTTTGAGTTCAGATACGCCTGAAGGTACATCCTAATCCCTCAAACCAAGGCTCTGATACCAACCTGTAACGACGTAAATTTTAAAACAATTTTTTATTTTTCAAACATAATAAAACTCATATAATATTCTCAAAATCTCAAGTATCAAATGTGATTACAATAAAACATATCTCAGAATCTCAACACATAATCTTCTGCCAGTGTGTACAAATCATGCCGACGCCTTCCCGCGATCCTCGCTGGTACTTGAAACACATATCACATAACACGGTAAGCATAAATGCTTACTGAGTTCCCCAAAATACCACATACAACACATAAGCCACTCGAGGCTATAACTCGGTATGACCCTCCGGTCAATGTGTCTCAGCGGGACCCTCCAGTCCCGTAGCTCGTTGGACCCTCCAGTCCGGTCTAGCTCGTTGGACCCTCCGGTCCGGTCTAAATCGTTGGACCCTCTGGTCCGGTCTAAATCGTTGGACCCTCTGGTCTGGTCTGTATAACACATAGCATACATATATCACAATGCACATAAACTCAAACATACACATAACACATAAGACCCTCCGGTCTGCACATAGTTACCACTCTAGGTAATGTATAGTGAGAGGACTCACCTCGGGTAATCTCGGAAAGTCTCGAACTCAAATCACTGATCTAGCCTCCGCCTAATCACATAAAGTAATTATCTCTAATTAATACGGCTCTCAAAGGCTAGACTAGTCCCTCCCTATACTCTATCAGAAGGGGAAAAGACCATTTTACCCCTCCAATGGTCCAATGTCCAAATGTTGACCAAACCCTAAAAGTCAACCCCAGTCAACGGTCCAATTTTGACCAGACTCATCGAGTGCACTCGGGTGACTCAGCGAGTCCATGCGTGTCCTCTGAATCCTCCTAAGGCCTCACTCGACTCGTCGAGTTAACCTTTTTCTCGACGGGTCACCACTGATCACGAATCGTGGTGCAACACAATCCGACTCGTCGAGTCCTTTCATGGACTCGACGAGTTTCTTCCATGAGAATGCTCAAACAACCTTCTGAAGTCGGATTTGTTTCTCTAACTTATAGATATGACCTTCTAACACCCAAAAGTCACGTAAAGGTCTGAACTTTACGTTCATGCATCGCACATATGGCTCTATTTGATGAAATAGCTCTAAAAATGGAGTCCTAGGCTTATTATTCTCATGTAACAACATAAAGCGTGGGTTGTTGGGACACTCTGGACCTCTCAAGGTCCAGATCTAAAGTCTATTCCTCAATGGGACTTCACATGCTCCATATTCCAACTAAAGAAAGGGTAAAGAAACCCTAGATTCAAGAGATCTACTATATACACGAAAATAGGCATGGATTCATACCTCAACAGCAACCTTTGATGAAGTAATGGTAGGTCTGAGCTCCTCAATCAGCCTAGCTTGAATCCCCTCTCTCCTTCTTGCAAGAATGCACTAAAGGCGATGCAATTAGCTCCTTCCCTCGTTCTCTATGCTCTCTGGTTCGTTAGGGTTTCTCAAGTGGGCGTGTGGCCGCAATGAGGGCCATAAGGACCCTTAAATAGGGCACATGCCCGAAGATTTAGGGTTTCTGTCCACAGCGCGGACTCGTCGAGTCCATTCATTAATCCGAGTCATCAGTCGCGATCCTACTCGACGAGTTTAGGCGTCAACTCGTCGAGTCCCTCTCCTTGACTCAAAAATAAATGCTCAATTGATGATACCTGGAAATCCGGATGTTACAATTCTCCCCCATTTGAATTAGATTTCGCCCTCGAAATCGCTCCTCAACAACCTATAGATCTAATCCAAACCGAACAGCACCATCGAAAGGATCTCATACC